AAAAATCATAGTGAACATAAGTATTTTAGGAGAATGATAAAGGAGATACAATATTGTATGTAAAAACTTGTGGGGTGCAATTAAGTCTTGATTAGGAGGGGGGATAGAATTTTAAATGTGTGAGGACAGGTTGAAAATAAACAAGTAACTATCTGAGAAAGTAATAAATAGAACAGCAAATTATAACCAAAGGAAGCAGAAGAAAAGAAATAATAAAGATCAGACATAAATGAAATAGAAAAATAATATAATAGAGTCAATAAATCCCACATTTCATTTGCAAAGATTGGTAAAATTCACAATCCTCTGACTAGAAAATGATATATGTAAGGAATAGAAGAGTAGACATCTTTTCAGATCCTATAGGTGTTAAAAAGATTGGGAGAAGATGTTCTGAATAATTTTATGCCAATAAATAAGCACAAATTCCTAGAGAACTATAATTTAGACCCAGGAAGAAATAGAAAATGTGAATTGTCCTGTAACTCTTAAATAAATTGAATCTCCGGAACTACATGGCTTTCCAAATTAAAGAAATAAAACCAATTTTATGCAAACTCATCCAGAGAAAAGAAGAAAAGCAAGAAGTCTTTGCAACTAATATTATGAGGCCAGAATATTCTCCATTCTAACCTGGTAAGACATTATAAGATAGAATATCTTTGTCATAAACAAAGCTGAAAACAAATGCTAAAGAAAATGTTAAATCAAATCCAGCAACACATAAAAAGGATATTATATTGCGACCATGTAGAGTTTATTTTAGTAATGCAAATTTGTTTAAAATCAGAAAATTTATCAGTGCAATTCACCACACTCACAGAATAAAGGAGAAAAACCATTTATTATTGGGTGATCATTGATCAGCCCAATAGATTCAGAAAAAAAATTGATAAATTCAATTTTCTTTATTGTCAATTTTTTTTACAACATAAGGAAACTTTCTTAAAATATTAAAGGGTACCTACAAAACCTGTATACTTAATGAGGAACTTTAGACAGTTCTTCCCCGAATCCAGAAATAACACAAGCATATCTACCATCACCACTTGGAGGCCCTACGGAGTACAAAATAGCCAGAAAAAGAAATATAAAATATAAATATTGGAGAGAAAAAACTCCTGCTATTTGCAGACAATATGATGTTAAGTAGAATATTAAAAAAGTACAAATAAATTATTAGAATTAGAAATGAATTTAGTAAGGTTGTTGAGAAAATTGTCAATATACAAAATTAGTTGTATCTATATACTGGTAAAAAAGAACAAAACGGAATTTTAAAAAGATACAATAAGGTGTCAAGTAAAATAAGATCTCTATGCATATAACAATAAGCTATTATTGAGAAAAAAATTTTTTAAAAATTTAAATAGGTACATGATAATGGACTGTAAGATATTAAGATGCATTTTCAACTAAAATCCAGTTGGCTTTTGCATGGAATTGACAAGAAAAATTTAAAATTTTGGGGTGCCTGGGAGGCTCAGTCAGTTAAGCATCTGCCTTTGGCTCAGGTCATGATCTCTGGGTCCTGGAACGGAGCCTCACATCAGACTCCCTGCTGAGCAAGGAGTCTGCTTCTCGCTCTACCCCCCACTGCTTCCCCCTGCCCCGGCTCATTCTCTCTAAGAAATAAAATCTTAAAAAAAAAAAAAAAGAAAAATTTACATGGAAATGCAGAAGTTCAAGAAGAGCCAAAATACTGTTTAAGAATAAGGATAAAATAGGAGAACTTACTCTGCTAGATTTCAAGACTTATTATAAAGCTACAGTAATTAAGACTTTTGGCACAAGGGTAGACAAAGAGATCACAGTGGCATAGAACATAGAGCCTGAAGTAGACACATATGTAGATGGATATTTAAATTATCACAAAGGTGGCACAGCAAATAACAAGAAAAGGAAAGTCTTTTAAATAGTATTGGAACAATTCAAAATCTACATGGAAAAAAAAATAAGATGACTTTTATTTCACACCATGCACTAAAGTCTACTCTAGACAGATTGTAGGTTTAAATGTGAAAGGCAAAACAACAAAGCTTCTAGAAGATAATATAGGAAACTCTCTTTATGACATTGAGGTAGGGCATGTTCTAATCATATAAGAAAATATCAGTACATTTTACTATATTAAAATGAAAAGTTTCTGTTTACCAGAAGACATAATAAAAAGAACAAAGGAACAAAACACAGAGTGAAAGAAAATCATTACAATGTATTTAATTAACAAAGGACTTCTATCCACAATGTATGAAAAATACTATAAATAAGTAAAAAAATGTCATATAATTTAATAGAAAAAGGGCAAGAGACATAAACTGGCACTTCACCAAAGAGGATATCTAAATGACCAAACATATGAAAAGGTGTTCCATCTCATTAGTAGTTAAGAAAATACAGACTAGGGCGCCTGGGTGGCTCAGATGGTTAAGCGTCTGCCTTCGGCTCAGGTCATGATCCCAGGGTCCTGGGATCGAGTCCCGCATCGGGCTCTTGGCTCCCTTTCTCTCTCTCTCTCTCTCTCTCTCTCCCCCCTGTCACTCATGCATAAATAAATAAAATCTTAAAAAAAAAAAAAAAACCAAAAGACAACTGACAGAATGGGAGAAGATATTTGCAAATGACATATCAGATAAAGGGCTAGTATCCAAAATCTATAAAGAACTTATCCAAC